GGCGGCGCGGCGCCCAAGAAGCGCGGCTACGACATCACGAGGAACCCGCACCTCAACAAGGTGGGTGCCCGCGGCGCGGCCCGGGGACACGCGCGGCCCGAGGCAGGGTCCGCGTCCGGCGGTGTGGAAAGGGGAGATAACGGCGCTGGGGAGCGTGGAGCGCCCTCGGAACCCACGCGGGACGCCGCCGTGGTGTCTCCGTGGGGAAGCGGGTGCGTGGGGCTGCCKTGTGCCCCAGCTGCCGCTTTGCTCCCCCGAGGCCTGCGTTGGGTGGCCGTGGAGAGTCCTCCTCGGCGCTGCTGCCTGGGGAAATGTCAACGTTTAAACAAAAAAAGGGAGAAGGAGGATTCCAACGGAGTCTGCGAAGGGGTGTCAAATGAGGGGTGCGAAGGGGTGTCAAATGAGGGGTGCGAAGGGGTGTCAAATGGGGCCTCGTCATTTAGCCCCTCAGTGGCGTGGCGCCGTGTTTCTGTGCCTGTCTGTGGGTTGGATGAAAAAATGAAATTTAGGTGCAGATTTTAAGGTAAGATTAAGCCTGTCTAGCCCATGTGTTGGGCTAAAGAATGTTGAGTTTCAACTTGTCATGTGTATGTTAGAAAAAATAGTATTTTAGGGCTGGTGAAAAGATGCGATTATTAAACAGGGCGTAAGTAAAACTGCTTATCATCTACTCRTTACGTAGTTATCCAGAGTATCAGACTGTTGTGTTGGCCCCTGGTTGGGACTGCTGAGGTGACAGCTCTTGCCCTGTGGAGGACCCAACATCCCAGGTTTCCACCTCCTGGCATCCTTCAGCTTCCATAGTTCATTCCAGCCCCTGAGAATGAAGGAATATGATGGTACAGGGTGTTACTGAATATGCAGGAATTTCGTAGGTCATCTGCTTTAAATCATCATACCTTGAGTGTCCAAGGGACCAAGGAAATGAGAGATTGCCAGGTGTCTCCTAATGCTGATGCACTGCTGTTGATTGCCTGGTTTGGAGGGGTTGTTCTTCAGCATCCTGCATCCTCTCTTGAGTGTTCAGGAATAGGCTATAAAAAAGATAGCTGATATGTCTAATAACCTTAAATTTGTCAACTATAACAGAAACATGAACCCTTTGCCCTTTGTTCAGTGTAATGCAATAATAACTCATTACAAGCCAAATCTATCACACTTTTTATGTTTTTTAATATTAAATGTACAATATGTTCTAGTGTGCTATGTTTAAATGGCCATTAAAACCCTCCAGCCTGGGTGTTTGCTGTTTATGTTACAACCCTCTGTCAGTGCAGGCCTTGCAGTCATCTTTGCAGTCCTCTTCAGAACATCCAAACAAGGAAAGAAATGGCTGGTTACTGTGGTAAGAGATAAAGACACCCATCTTTGCAGCTAGATAATTAGTCAGTAGTGAACTGTTCTGGCTTTCTAAGCTTGAAGACTTCTCTTTGCCTGTTGCTCCTAATAGATCCTTATAGTGTCTAAGGAACAGAGCATGCTGAGCCGCAGTGGGGTGCATCAGACTGTTCCTGTCAGTCAAGGTGTGATTTAAGGTATGTTTTCTGGCACTTCAGTGCCTTGCAGCAGTCGGGTAAGCCAGAATTGGGGAGCTTGGTACGTTGCAATCTCATTGCATAGCAATTACTGTTTGGTCCTTTTCAGAGGACTTCTCTCCAGCAGAATCATAGACAGAGGACTTCTCTCCAGCAGAATCATAGAGGTTTATGGTCTGAGATTATTGATCCCAGTCTTTGCTTGCTTGGAAGCTGCTTGGTGGAAGCCTCTCCAATTTGGAAATTGCTGCTGACAGCTTCTCTGCATATCTAAGTATCAGTAAAAGTGGGCTGTCTTCAGAGAGGCTCGTATGATTTCCAGATCTACCTGAGAACAAAAGGTAGTAGTGAAACTAGTGGTGGGCACAAGAAATTTGTAGTGGGTTCATTCCCTTGGTCATCGTTTGCTGCGTGAGGTTGCCAGGGTATTTAAGGGAATAGGATTGAATTCCTAAACGCTGATCACAAGGGCCAGCTCTATCCTGAGCATAGRTTGTGAATGAGTCTTCTACAGTTCTTAAATTATTTGACCTATCCATGCATTGTGTATAACAACTTGCTTGACTGTGACATTTTGGGGGAGATTTTGAAGAAAAGACTGTCTTACAGTGAAACCACTTTGTAGTGATTTGAGGACAAGCTGAATTCCAAGAGGATTTATTAGAGGTCTCTGATATGCGAGTGTCCAGCGGCACTGCTGGACTTACTGAGAGTGGAGCCTGTCCTTCTGTGGCATCTCAGCCTTGGAAAAGCTATTTCAACCCTCCGATGATGCAAAGGAAGGTGAGGTAAATGTTGCCTGTGCCTAGCTGGTATGGTCACCTTTCTGCTACCTTTTTTTCCATTCTTAAGATCCATGCAATTCCCTTGATCTCAGATGCATTGTGTTCTGTTAAATCCATGTGCTCTCTCCATGTTTTAACAGAAACTCAGAGCTGAGGTTTAACCTCGTCGACCAGATGATTCCAAGTTTGACCACACACCTATGGAAATTCAGAAATATCCTTTCCAAAATCAGCTATAATTTCGTTCTTGACATCGAGCTGCCTCCAATTCCACCYTGTACAATTGGAAGCTTGGGGGCACTTCATCCCTTTTCCTGGAAGGCCTCATTTTGAGGCAAAGCTTGTCTGTTTGGAGACCTGCCATCACAAACAGATGTAGATCTGGAGGTCACCATTTGTTTTTAGAGTGGCAGGATATTGCCAGTATTGGAAAGGCTTATGGGTATAAGAGATAATATGCTGATATATCTGTAAGCTATGGTACAGAGTGAAGAATTGTGCATCTTCTTAGGAAAAAAAAAAAAAAAAAAAAAGCAAAATTGCCTGTCTGGATCTGTAAGGTACTTTTCCCACTGCAGTTGAAAAAAAGAGTCTTAGAGTTTTGTACCTAGCTGTACACAGCAACTGTGCTGAAGCAGGCCTAAAATTAGCTGGCTTACTAAAATTATTGTAATTGAGAAAAATTGGCAATGAACTCAGAAACAGAGCACCTGAAGCAGCAGCTGGTGAGATCAAATCGAAGTAGGATTCAGCTTTCACATTATTAAATCTCTTATCTAACCCCTGTGGTTGTACAACAAGGGTTTCCTGTTGGCCAGCACCTGCTTCCATGCACATTTAGCTCCCGGGATGGGCACRGGGGGTTATGAGGAGCTGTGGGCCCTGTGGCTACCTCACCATCTGATCAGGTTTGCTGTGTGTGATGGGCAGAGTGTGGAGGCTGTGCTCTTGGTTTCAGGAGTCTCCAGCTATTTGAACAGGTTTTAGAGGAAGTGGACAAGGTCATTAAGGAAAAAAAAGGAAAAAAAAAAAAAAGTTTTATCCACTAAGGGTAACTAAATACATCGAACCACACCTGGCACAGAAAAAGGACCCAAGTGGAGGTAATTAGGGCATGGGAACGTATTATGGTCAAATATCAGACATTTGCCCCAGCTTTGGGGCACATTATGCTCTAATTCTCTGTTCTAGGGTGGATATATGAGCGGGCTGGAGCACTGTTTGGTGTAATGAGTGTTTGAGTATGCCCAGGGCAGAGCGGCTGTTTTCACATTTATTATCTTGCTCTTTAGTTTCCGCAGCCAAGTTCTTCTAGCTCAGTCACCATTGACTTCAGTGGGAAGAAACCCCAACAGGAGAAGTTTGCCCTTGTGWTTTGTCAGCTCTGCTGCTCTGGAAATGATTGCTCAGTCACTATTCATTTTGGCCATCATCTTGGGGTATTGGATTTTGTTTTATTTGTTTGTTCATGTCAAGTGTAGTTAGCGAGAAACAACCCTATACAGAGAAACAACCCTTTGGCAATCATGTTTCATAAGATTTTGATACAAAGAAGAAYGTTAGAGCAGGTTAAATTATAAAATACCTTTAAAATGGCCTTTAGGTTATGGAAATTCATGAATTTGGCAGCTGCCTATGTTGCTTTCTTTTTATCRTGTGCTTTCTTTAAAGGAGGCCTTAATACCTCCAACCAGGCTTGTTTGGGTGTACAAGTAGAAGGACTTAATGTCATAGTGCAGGCCAATTTTTTTGGCGCTTAAATAGCATTGTGTTTAAATAACACAAGCTGTTTGATAAATATTATGAACCTCGGTGCAATTAAAATGGCTCTAGGGCYGAATGTTACAGCTTGTTCCCATTTATTGAATCCAGGGAAATAAATGGCAAACAACTGTCTGATTACACTGGGAATGCCTGGGACCCAGGATGTTGGTGGGAAGACGGAGCATGTTATAYATACACGTGGGGCGTGTTCCATATACGTGTCTCATAGATACTTTTCTTTGCACTGACCTCAGCAGGGTTCAAACATTACCCCCACATAAGTAACATGCCCTGTAATGTCATTGACTTTAGGACTTGTTTACTGCAGAGCACAGAGATGAATCACTGGTGTTTGCTAGGGCTCACCAGAACCACTGATGATTTAGGTGGAGCTGCTGAAGGATGGGGCTAATTCACAGTACAAAGTGGAGGACAAAATTCTGTGGCTCAGTTTTAAATTCAGATGGATTTGCTGTTCACAGTGTTCCCTGCTAGAGATGGGACCTGGTACCTCTGTGGCTTTTCATGGCACTGTTTAAGTACTCAGTTTTTGCTTTTTGTGTGCTGTGGGTCTGGCACTTGTGGAGCACAACTGGATAAATTAAATTTGACTTGGTTTTGGATAAAAGGGAATGTAAGCTGCATTTCCTCGCAGTTTCTGTGGCAGTTTCTGTTCCAGATGATGAGTGATACTGTAGCTCCTGTGGTGGACAAGAATTGGAGCTGAAAAAGGAAAAGTGGGTCTTGAAGGAAACAAACCCAGCATTTTCTTGGGCAGGAGAGATGGAGAAGCTGCTCAGTCATTCTCCTGACATGCTTTAAAGTCTGATGCTGTAAGAAACTGGGTGCTGGARATGCTGAGGATTGGACATGTGGTCGCTGCTTGTAGAGAGATGTCACCCAGCTGATAGCACCTTTTGACCTATATTCCTACAGACCCCCACACTAACACCAAGTCCTTATTAGTTTTGCTTCA